TTTTCGGTTCTCTGTTGGGAAAATGTTTAGTATTAGAACTTTTATTGTCCAGGCCTTGAACATTTTTGAATCCAGCTTGCGACGTGGAAAGTTTGATGAGTCACGAGTGTAAGATGTCTTTCTTATTATAATCCATACTTTTACCAGAATAAATTTTTGTTTCCCTACTATGAATCGTTTGATATTTCAGATTGCCCGATGGTTCTCTAATGGAGATCACAAAAGTATATCCTCTAGATGCGGTTTTCGACAGCCCCGAAGATGTTCCTGAAGATGTAATTTAGCAGTATCTAATTGATATGATAACAATTGTGTGCTCTGAATCTGATTTCATCTGTATGCTGAACATGTTTGTTTCTCCCATCATGCAGATAAAAACAAACAAACGCTATGCAGGATCTTCAAATTGGACTGTGAAGGTACACACATAACTTTCCTTCCAATACTTTCTATGTTGAAAAGCTATACTAAGTAATATAGTGGATTGTCCATGTGAGTGAATTTTAAGTATTACTAGCTACAAGATTAAGCATCTTATAATGCCAAAAGCCAAGTAGCTGGTATGTGGTATCTCTTGTTTTATATGCATGAGCATGTTGCTTGAATGGATCGTGCCAAAGTTTGATCAAGTCTTTGAGTCATTGTCTCATCAAACCCATGTGATGTCTTTGGACGCTTCAATTTTAATGGCCTGGCTAACTTTTAACCATCTTGCAGGAAGTTGCTGAATCTGTGAAGCAAGATTTTGGCAGCATTGATATTCTTGTGCACTCCCTTGCTAATGGACCAGAGGTATATAGCTTGGAGATTTTGATCAATGATAGGCTTTCATATCTTGCTCATTTTTTTAAAACAAAGATACTCTTTATAATAGGTAACAAAGCCTTTGTTGGAGACATCTCGGAATGGTTATCTAGCAGCTTTATCTGCATCAAGCTACTCTTATATTTCTCTACTGAAGCATTTCGTTCCAATCATGAATCCAGGCATGCTAAAATATTTCCATCGAAGACTTTCATTTTTTCCTCACACATGATAGCCCAAGCTTTCCTTTTCCAGCTATTATAAGGCAAGGAAAGAATATAAAAGGAGAATTTTGGTTTTTGTTAGGTGGTTCTTCATTATCCCTCACATACATAGCTTCTGAAAGGATCATTCCAGGGTATGTATGTAACATGATTGCTTGGCGACCATATACTCAAAGAAAATATGCTTGCCTTGCCCTCGTTACTTTCTTTTCAACTATTTCCAATTAAACTACAGTTTTCTCTCATCCACAGTTATGTTTACTCGGTGGCTTGTGTCACCAAAATTTCACTTATATCTTTATGATTGAATTCATGATTCAGGTATGGAGGTGGCATGAGTTCTGCCAAAGCTGCTTTAGAGAGCGATACACGAGTAAGATTTTTGCTCCCCCTATGCTCTCTTCTTGTGGGGCTGGAATTATTCTTTCTTACCATGATGAGAGTGTTGTATTTAGAATGTGATTATTGTTCTTATAGGTACTTGCTTTTGAAGCTGGAAGAAAATACAAAATCAGAGTCAACACAATATCTGCCGGTATATTTTGTCCTTCCTTTTATTTTCACTTTTTCTGAAAAAAAAAAAATCAACACTTAATCTTGTTATGGTACAAAGAGTCTTTTCAGACTGAAGGGTGACATGCAAATTCCTTTTATCTAGAGTTGGATTGTGTGTTTCGTCTTCTGGGAATCATAATATAAGTATAACTAGAGTCGAGCCGCCGCTATATGTGAATTTCCGCATGGAATCTCTCGAAGTCATATCTTGTTGTCTTCAGGTCCATTAAGAAGTCGAGCTGCAAAAGCTATTGGATTTATTGACATGATGATTGATTATTCATCAGCCAATGCACCTCTGCAGAAAGAACTATCTGCTGGTAAAATCTTCGTCAATCCTTGTGACATGCTCCTTTTTTTCACCATTACTATTATTGATTCATGCTGAAATGCTTCCTTTTTTAATTGATGTAACAGAGGAGGTGGGGAATACAGCTGCCTTCTTGGCCTCGCCTCTTGCTTCTGCCATAACTGGAGCTGTTATTTACGTCGACAATGGTTTGAATGCAATGGCCGTGGGAGTCGATAGCCCGATATTCAAGGATCTAGATATTCCAACAGACAAGCACTAGATTTCCTTTTATATTGGTTTGGTTGATGCCTTGCCAAGGCTTAGAAACTTTAGCCTTAGAGTGCTGTTGTCTCAGCTACCTAGTTCATTACTCTTTTTCCTGTTGTTGGAACCGTTAATAGGAGAATAGCTCGGCCAAGCTGCCTCGATTTTGGATTTATGTTTCTAATTTTTGCTCTTTGAATTCGCCATAAGGGTAGTTCAAAATCGTCCAAGTATGGATGCGGGCATTGTTATAGTACACGTCTGAGAGTAGTATTTCTTCGACATTATGAAATTACTACTGACTAATTACGAGCACTTATAATCTTTTCCACGGCGATTTGGCTTCAATTTGAAAAGAAGGGTACTTTAAGATTTTAACCAAGTATCATGATAAATCTGAATGTTTCTAATTAGATAAAAGCATTTTAGCATATCGAAAAGATCATTCCAAAATAATAATATAGATTGTATTAGATAACATTAATTCAAACCCCAGAATCATGCACTGGCGTCTTTACGTAGAGTTTTTCATGCCCATCAGCTTCAGCATCTCTTTGATTGTTTTAGGGAGAGTTGAGATGCCCAAAAAGGAAAAAGAGAGATTATTCACATATTATAGGAATAAAATAGTCGTCTTCCCACTTCATTTTTGTTCGTGGCATAGTTTTGATTTGATTTCATAATCATCTCTATGATTGCAATACGAAGAGCAAAGGTGAGCATAACTTGTTATGTTTCCTTTATTTAACATATAGGTTTGAAGAGTGCAAACACCATCAAACTACATTCATACAACAATTTATTATTCAACCATCTTAGGAAAGATGGTATCAAGTCGTCTCAGAACTAACTTGCCCTAACGATTTCTTCTTTCATGGCCAAAGAGAGAGATGCAAGACTTGCTTCACTCTCCACTCTTACTCCAGGCATGGCTATAGCTCTGCTACCCACAGAGCCACCTTCTCCAATCTCAATCTTTCCAAACTTAACTTCTCCTCCTCCTTCATATATGTGTCCAAATAGTAGTGCTTCTCTTCCCACACTACCACCTTTATGAATCTTCACCATCTCGGGATTCAACAGAGCTCCCATGCTGTCTACATAAGTCCCTTGATCCAAATCCACATCTGAACCCATCAACTTCATTATCAGGACAAATATGAAAGACCCAGTTGTCATTTCCATGAAATAATCTCCCACCAGCGTTCTAATGGCCTGCCATATTGTGTCCATGAAAATCCTTATGCTCCAAATGCCTATCGATTCCCCGTCTTTCTTCTTCTGCACTAGAACCCATTTCGCCAGGACACAACAAAGAGCAGCTATAATCCCAGAAGACACCCACAACAATGGAAGCAACCACTGCAATGGAAGTTTTTTGTCTTCCTTCAAGTGCATAACATAAGCTAGTGGAAAAAAGATGACCAAACCTATAATGAAATAAGGCAGAGCTGTTTGTAATAGTGGTTGAGAGAATGTAACCCAGAAGTTCTGAAACCAAGTCCTGTCCAGCGCCGCCTTTTCATTGTCCCTTCGCTTTACTGCTGCTGCTACTGGGCAACCAGAAAGATCTACTTTTGTATCTGATTGTTCGAGGAAGATCTTCCAGGCTTCTGGAAGAGGGCTTCCGTTTCGCAAATGCTGACAAATCTCATATATCAATGAACGTCCATGATCGATTGAAGCACTCTGGGAGGCTGATGTTGCTGAAATAACATCAACCTCGGGACATCGGAGAAAGGGGTTAAATTCCAGTGCTTCAGATTCTTCTTTTGATAGACTTTGGTCGATTTTAATCTCCCCAATATCTAGACATGGAAACTCAGCCTCATCCCAGGGTTTGGTGCAGTCAAGTGCAGTGTCGCGGTCAACCTCACCATGTGAAACTGGACGAATTTGGAGCTGAAAAACGTAACGAATTCCTCCAGGAGAGTTCACGCGACTCTGGAAATCTTCAGCCAAAAACAGCAAGGGGCGTTTGTCATCATCTGCTCTTGGCATGGCACCTGTCTCTGGTGGGAGAATTCCAACTGGCTCAACCTTACCAGAATCCTCGTTGATTGTTTTATCGTAAGGCCTCAATTTGAACTTCACATACATTTCCTGTCCATATTTGAATCGGAACAGCCGACAAATGTTTGAGTAATAGTGTAGTTCTGCATATGAATCGGATAGCCGGAGAGAATTCCATACTGCATCACGTATATGTGGTACTCTCTTGACATGTTCCTCTCTTGCAGCAAGCCCACAGACCAGCCATGTTGCAAAATCTGCAATTGTCCTTGCATAGAACGCATTGCCTGTTTTCAATGTCAAGTCAAGGAGTGGGCTAGTGTCTGATTCGTCTGAAAATATTCTCAATGCTGCACCACGAGCGTCGATCCGGGCATCGTCATCGGCGCTTAAGCTATTGCTATGTCTTATGAAGACGGGGTAAGTCTTCCCAGCAGAGAATATCTTGTGATCAGGTAAACCTTTAATATTGTCATATATTTTTAAATGTCCCTTCCCACTAACGCCAATTCGATGGAAATACCTTGTTTTGACTTTCAAAGTCGTAGCAGCTAAATTTGCAGCCAGGTTGCCAACTATCTTCTTGTATATCATGTCCATCTTTTCTATCCTTTCATCCAACACGTGCATCGTATTCTTGATCATGACTGGAGTTCGAGAACCAACATAAACACCTCCCTTTATGAGTGTTGAATTCATTGGAGCAACTGAGAGTGCACCAAGAATAACATTTTCTTGAACCACTGATCCAGGGAGGACTGTACTTTGGCTGCCTATAACAGCATTGTTTTGTACCTCAATCTTCCCACGAGTAAGCCCATTAGTTGAATAGAATCCAGAAATAATCCTGCTGAAGTCACCAAGATGGACAGAGGTACGAATAGAAATTAGTTCCGGATCTGATACTGGATTGATTGCTCTGATTGAACAATGCTTGCCAACTACTGCACCTAAAAGGCGCAGATATATGCAGAAGGCTTCTGTTCCAGACAAGAGTTTAGCAAATCTAAGGTGGCTGGCGATGGTAATTCTATGACAAAGCCATATTTTCAGGGGATTTTGCTCCATGTTGGGCTTAGTGGTGAGGAGATATTTCAGAATAAATGTGAGGATGCAAAGTATTATGCCGTGAAATAAGTACGTGGAGGAAAATAAGATGGCAAAGCTAGTTGCATTTGAAGGGACTTCAGCAAATATGGTAGCATAAGCAATTACAGTGAATGGTGTCCAGTGGAAGGTTCCAGCTAAGCTAATAAATGCCAAGTGTTGAAGTGAAGGAGAGCTTTGAGATAGCCAAATGTAGAAGTAGTAGACAATAGCTGCAGAAAGTGAGCCCAGAAAACCAACTAAGTAGATTCCCAAGAAGTGATAAATGGCCTCAAGTTCCTGTCTTTTTCCTGCAATACTTTGTGGCTTGCTACACTGATATAATAAAAAAAAAAGGAAGCTTATATCAGTACTTTAGCGTGGAAAAGAAGTTGAGAGTTATAAGATGTAAGTAGATAAGTCCGGAAGTAGGATAAGGACTACGTGTTGAAGTAGTACTTGATGTTCGAAACATAAAATCTAGAAATTCAATATAGACCGAAATTAAGTTGAGCTGCTTAAAATATGACAACAAAATAAAAATAAATAAAATAAAAGGGATATGATGGAAATTGATATTTGATGCAGGAAAATTATTACTGGTCGTATTAGAGATGAATTATTTTTATTCTCATATCAAAGAAGGCTCCATTATTACCAAGAAAAGATGCCTCTTAATCAATATTATTGTCAATATGACTCCCTATTAACCTTATAGAATTACTACGCAGAAGATAACAGTTTATGCATTGTACTAAAATGACTTTAAGGTGTGCTATACCTTTTGTAGTTTTTTGTTATCAGAAGTTTTCACAATGCCTTCTATCTTTTGAAGAGCAGGAACTTCAACTTCTTCTCCTAAAGTGGCACCTTTGTGGATTGAAGCATAAGGTCCCACTGAAGAATTTTGGCCGATTCTAATTGGAAGAAAGCTCAAAACTCCGTTTTTTACCTCATGACTTTGAATCAAAGCCCCTTCTGCAATAACAACTCCATCACCAATAGACACCAGAGAGGGGTCAGTGATGTCTATGGTATCGAGAATGACTGAGGATCCTATCCTTGCTCCAAACATTTCATACCAGACTTTTAGGAACACTGTTCCTCTTAAATGCACAGCTAGAACTTTAGAAGAAACATCTTGTGCTTTATACATCGCCCACCACTTGACAAAATCGATTGACCAGATGGAGACTTCAGGGGTGAGAGCATAATTTGGTCTTAAGAAAGAATTTCCGAAGAATGCAATGCAAATGCAAGAAGAAACTATGCAAAGGATCCAAGCTAGAGGGGCCAAAGTCAAAGGTAATAGATAATTCATCAAAGGAATTTCGTCGGTCAATTTATGGAGAATAGAAATGGAACTTGTGAAAGCTGAAATCGAGAAATAAGCAGGAAATACCAGCATCACAGCAACAAATATGAGAGCCAGAAGGTGGAAAAACCAGATAGCAAATTGGCGAGTCCTGGAAATCTTTTCCATCTCGATCAATGCACAAGCTGTTTCAAATGTTGGATTAGCTGGATTTTTTGTTGATTGTGCATGATTCTTGTTTAAAATATTCTCCGAGATACTTGCCAATTCTGCAATGCAACTTGCTGTGAAAATATCCACAGCCCCTACTGGCACTCCTAGGAAATTTGAAAGTTTCTGGGCTGCTCTTACCACCAGAATTGAATCAATTCCATATGACAATAAGCTTTCTGTGGCACAAATTTTGTTAATTGGAATGTTTGTTAGCTCAGATACGAGCCCTTTCAAAAACTCTTCAATATCCTTATTACTTATTCTGGGACTTGGCTGAACAGAAGCTCTAGAAAGATTTGATAGCTGAGGACGGGGAGTATTTCCCTCCTTACATGTCCCTGTACTGAAGGATCGAAGAAAAGTCCTTCTCAACTTTATTGCTTCTGGTACTACATTAAGAGTTCCATCAACAAACTGTTTCAGGCACTCAAATCTCTTTATTTTTCCTGATGTAGTCTTACTGATGGTCCTAGGTTTAATCAACTTAACTGAAGCAACGCTCACCCCATGCTCTTCTGCCACACGATTCTGAATTTGATCAATGACATCCTTAGCAACCGGCTTACCATCCTTAACCTCCGCAATCACAACCACGCCAACTTGGTCAGAACAATCAGGAATTGGAATACCCTTTTCCATCAGAATATCTTCTGGAACACCAATGACTGCACAGCAACCTGGGCGTAAGAGCTCGGATGAACTCTCAACTGTCTTTTCAACATCTGCTGGGTAGATGTTTCTTCCTGCTGCAATAATGAGATCCTTAATCCTTCCAGTTATGAATAACTTCCCGTCAATTATTCTTCCCAAGTCACCAGTTCTAATATATCTCCGTCCAGGACGGTTTTGGAGCTCATTTCTGAAAGTATCTTGGCTTAATTCTTCCCTCCCCCAATATCCAATTCCAGCACTCGGGCTACTGATCCATATCTCTCCTTCCTTTCCATCTTCTTCAAGCTCCTTGCCAGTCCCTGGATTGACTGTCCGTATGTCAATATCTGCATTATCTTGATCTACGTATCCACAACAAACTCTTCCTTGCGAGTCTATGAAGATGGGTTTTCCTTCTCCAAAAGCACAACTCACAAATACACAATTTTCTGCCAACCCATAACCCGGAGCCATCACCTCTTCAGATAGGCCTAAAGGAATAGTGAGCTCAATAAATCTTTTCAAAGTAATTTTCCGAACAGGCTCAGCAGCAACCATAAGGAAAACCAAGGAGGAAAGGTTATACGCCTGAACCTTGTCCTTGTTAGCCTCTAACCTTCGAGCTACCAATTCAAAGGCAAAGTTGGGACCTGCACTATGAGTAGCTTGATATGTGCTAATAGTCTGAAGCCATAAAAGGGGATTTTTTATGAATGTCATTGGAGAAAAAAGAATTGCAGTTCCACCACTCACAAGAGCGGTGAAAAGTCCACCAATCAGCCCCATGTCATGGTATTGAGGTAGCCAGCTTACCAGTACCGTCCTCGATGTACTTTTATATCTTCTGCGCATCAACTTCACATTGTGAATGAGGCCACCATGTGTAATCATGACTCCTTTTGCATCACCTGTTGATCCGGACGTAAATTGCAGGAAGCTTACATCATCTGGATGAGGTTCAGATTGGTTAGCCACCACTTCTGGAGCCAAATTGGCAAAGTTCTTAATCCAACTATCAGTGTGCATCCATGGAAGTTTAGGCCAGAGAGCAGAAGATTTCCCATTTTCTCTTATCGAGGCAATCATATTCTTTACCTTACCTACTCTAACTGCTGAATGATAACCAAGGGTCGATAGTATTGCGACTGCACCGCATGATTTTGCAATGTATTCGATTTTCAAAAGTGCTTGGCCGCCTCTTTGCAAGGGATCAGGAGGAAGAACTGGAACCGGTATAACTTTAGCTCTTAAGCACCCAAAGAATGCATCAATAAAGTCGAGACCAGGAACATATATGAGAAGAAGCCGATCCCCTGGTTTTATTGGAGGCTTCTGGTTTGACAGCAGCTTTTGAGCAATGCAAGAAGCATTGAGATGAAGCTCTCTGTAGGTTCGCCGGCATAACACTGACCCTTCTTCGTTAAGCCAAGTATAAAGTACCTTATCTCGAGTGACATGATGAGACCCCCAGTGCCTTAAATAGCCATCGAGTGAGGACAAATCGGGAAACTCCACTCCAGGTAATTCGACTAACCCCTTCAAAACCTTTTCTCGTTTCGATTGGAAGAGAAACATGGGCTGCAAAGGACATGTTCAAATTAGTAGAGATCAAGCAGAAGGGACAGAAAAGTGTTACTTTTTTGTCTATATTCAGCTGACAATCATTATTCGGACCACCTTAGCATAAGAAAACATTGGAGAAGAGTTGTTGTTCGCGAAGTGCTTGCATACTAGTGACATGGCATATGAAGAATTTCTCTCTGTAAGTTCAAAAGCCATAAGCCCTCCTACGTAATAAGTATTCAGTGAACCTTGTAGCTCCAATTCCAATCTTCTGTAGAACCCATCCTCCATATCTGCAGAGACTTCTACATATTAGCATCTCATTTTGACAACTAACTAGATAAAGGCAAATAGATTTTACTTACCTTTGCTACAAACATGGGGGAAGTATTTGAATCTTCTCTGTAGAATCACCTTCTTAACTTCTCCCCCCATTGTTTTAACTGTGTTGATTGCCAGTTCAGTCACATTTGGACCTGTAATGTCGGCAGAGTTGCCATAAGACCAGAACAAGAAAATATCAGTGTCTGGGTAGAATCTTTGCATGGCAACTGGGTATCCAATAGTTTCCGGATTATCCATATGTTTCCCGAAGTAATAAAAACCAAGCGGTAAATGGTTTAGGCCTTCTATCTTCAGAACAGTGGTGTAATAGTCAATTGTATATACTTTACTGAATAACTCTTTCTCGAGGTGGCTCATATCCATTATCTCAACTCCTTCTTCTGCAATTAATATCAATATAAAGCCTATTAAGGAAAAGAAAGGAAAAAAGGAAAGAAAGGAGACATGGACAAAGAGAGCAGAAAAGAGAGTTGAAAGTAATCAAAACCTGATAATTTTGTGGTCGAGGATCTGTAAGTTCTTCCACTTTTAAAAGGAAATGAACCAGAGATGATAACCTTGTCGAACTCCAAACTTGTGAGATTTCTGTCACGGTCCATGACATGAAGAATTACACTTCTGAAGCTCCGCCTGACCGATACTACTTCCGTGTTGCAGTGAACTTTGATTGGAAGTGACTCGCTGATCTTCTTCCAGAAGCCTCCATATCCACGTCTGAAGCGTCGAATTTTACCAGCCATTGAAGTGCGGGTGAACTCATGCGCATAGGCGTAAGGCATATCTTGTAGAAACCCATACCCGGAAGCAGTATAACCATAAGCCACAGACTTTGGAACAGACGTCAGTCCATGAGCCTCAAGATAAGCTGGAGTTAGATCTGATGCAAATTCACTCACGGCATGGACACCAATGTGTCCTGAATCCTTTGCTTTGTCCTGTACAGATTAGTTCCAACAACTAAATAACAGTGTGTTAAAATACTGATAAAAGTATTAAATTTTACTGTAACCCATCAGAAGCTATTCAACTGTAATTTTACAGTATTAATATTCAAACCAAAACCAGCTATAGCAGAAGAAACTTACCTGGAGTTCTAACGTGACAGAGATGATGGATTTATAATCCTCTGCAACGCCTATGTCTTGATATTTCCCCGTAGTATCAATGAGGGCTAGCTTATGGGAATCCATTTCTTCTAATTCAGAGCCAGTTTCTTTAGCCAGGTGAAAGATGGTCGGGGCACTATTTGCAGCAAGAACTTGACCTCCCAAATCATATATTTTTCCTGCAAGAATGGTGAACATAATGCTTGTTGTTAATCAACTTCAATTCAATCCCATTAGAACCGTGTCATATATAACTTGATACCTTCAATTTCTACTGATTCACACATGCCCCCAACAGCCTGATGCTTCTCCAACACTGTTACTTCAGTGTACCCAAGCTTGGCCAGTGCATAAGCAGCTGATAAGCCACTTGGCCCACCTCCTATTATTCCAATCTTCGTGTTCAGAGGAAGGGAAGGGTGCAGCTTAGAGAACTGATCTTCTAATGTCTTTCCTGTATCCATCATTACAGATGAGGACTACGAAACCAACTACAACTTCTCAGACCAAAAAGATCTCACATCCCAATTCAACTTCCTACTTCTCTCGAACAAAACTTGCTCAAAATCATCGTGTTGATATACACAATTTTCAGCGGACCCACATGCAGGAATACGAACTGGTTATTTAAAGCCTGGTTAGTGGCGTATTGCGCCAAAAGGGTCATTTAAAAAAGTGCCAAATGGCCAAGGAAAATGGGCAAAATGGTTTCATCGTTTGGCGACGACTTGAAACTTCACAATCATAGACTCTCCAAAGACTAAACGACGAATCGCAACATTCTCAGCTACTTTGGACACTCCGAGAATTAAACCCCCAAATATTCCCCCCACTACTACTTCGTCTTTGTTGGTAAAACAACACGTACCCTGAAAAACAAATGGACTGAGGACCGGCAGCGATAAGCACAAAGCAATCTTTTTCGAAGTCGGATTTTGGGGAAGAGTTGGATTTTTGGAATCGGAATCGGATCAGCGGAGTTATCAATTGTTGGTTTACTCATTGTTCACTACGCGATTAATTTGCGTTGCGCGGGAAGGGAACCAACCGTGGATGGTAGTGACCGTTGATAAATAAATATACTTTTAACGAACTGGATGGTTATTGGACGGTCGTGACATTGACATAAATCAAATACATTCAAAAGGCGACACGTGTTAATACTTACTTCTGTTTCCAATACTTTTCACTAAATAATTAATGCAAATCTCTAAGTCTCACGTGTAAACTATAACCAGGGAATTTATCTCTATTCGTCAAAACGAGCCTAATTCAGCAGTAATCGGTATATATACTCTACAAAATTTTTGTATTTGCAAAATCTTTTTTTTTATGCTATATTTGTAAGAGAAATTGTCGTGGATAGCAAAAATCTTTTATTTATTTCAGAATATGTCGCTTGTTTTTTAAATTTTCAAATATATAAAAAAATTTCATTTATGTTAGATCGGTAGTATATATATCACATGCATATTGCACGGACAAAATGAATATTTTTTAAATGAAATTATGAAAGAATAGCTAACAAAATGGTGAGCCTAGATTATCTCAACAATATATAGTGTGAATGATAAAGTTAATATGCTCTAATAGATGATTGCTAGGATAGCGCTCTTAGATGGACTTCAGCTACATCAAGATAAAGTTTTGTACAAGAAGAATAATTGACCTAACCAATAGCAAACTCTTAATATGAGTTGTAGAGTGTCGGAAGAGATAACTATTTGAAGAGATTCTCTGATGAAAGTTTATTGAAAATACATAATATATATATATATATATATATATATATATATATATTTTTTGGATAGACAATTTTTGAAAATAAAATCATGCAAAATTTAATTTTCAAAATAGACAATTTTTGTAGTTTTTTGTAGTACAAGGATGGATGGAGATTCGAACCCTTAACCTCACGATTAGATACGTATAAAGAAACGGAGGCTGGATCCTTACAAAAAGTTGATAAAAGAGAAAAGAAAAGAGTCAAAATTGAGGGGGCAACTATGCATTGGTTATATATATAAAAGTAACACACATTGTAATTTGAGACCCATTTCCTAGAGCTTATCGATGGGGGAGTTACGTGCAATATATATCTCTTTCTTTCCTCCCACATTTTTTCTTTTGGTAGGTAGGCTATGCCAATTTAGTGTGTACCTATCTATTTTCATTATTAATTTTAAAAGTGAAAACCTTACCCTCCTAGTTATTTAAAATTGGAAAATATTGGTTCTTACCGTCAATCTTGTCCTCAACAGAAAAAGGTAAAAATAGAGATTTTGTTTAAAAAATAATGAGTTATCAAATTTATTAAAGACGATAAAGGACAAGATTTAGTCTTGTCATCTCCGGTAAATAACTAGTTTTCTTTGTTGTACGTGATTTTCTCCTAAAAATAAAATTTTCTATTGTAATTCTTGATTTTGTCGGTGTAGATGGAGTTTTTATTAATTAACCTACTAAATTAAACTCTAAAATAATAAAAAGACAAGTTTAATTAAAAATAAAAGTATTACTATTCTTCCAATCATCTTCTTTTCCGAGAAAAAACTCATAAATCGGAGAGTAAAAAAAGAATAATAATAAGGTTCTCCTTGCATCGAATGAGAGAGAAAAAATTGATTATGTTTAGAATGGGAGAGTAACTAAAAAATAATATTTTTTATTAGTAATTGACACATGTCACTGCCGAGGTCATATTGACACCTGTCTCTACCACTTTTATTTTTTTCTCTCGTCTATTCACGAGACTAGTAAATTTTTAATGAATTATTTTACACTTTTAGTTCATCCTCGTTGATTTACTACTAATAAGAAATAAGAAATTGACGTGAGAATATGTTATAGAATATATTCTGATTCTTTTGGTGTTCAATCAAACCAACACCATTGACAAAATCCTTATTCCATTAGCATACTACATAATCACCATTATTTAAAATTATTTTGTTAGTTAATGAAATTCCCAACTAAATAATTTGACGGTTAGTTGAAAGGGCTTCCTTACCAGTTAACAGAACAATTTTGTTTTGAAAAAATAAAAATCAATGACTTCACGGACATGAGAATCGGTCATGGCTGATTCAAGCTGCTAGCATCACTTATGTACAATTTTACAATGCTGCAATTTTATGGAACAGCTACATTGATTAATGTCATTTTTATAATGATGCAATCAATTTCATCACTAACATATCAATATAGATATAAAATATAATATTGGTATATCATTTTCATATCATTGATAAACTATATTATTCATCATTGATATACAGGTTCTTACATTTGTGCCATTTTTACAAAATATTTTATATAGACAAATATGCCATTATTTAGACGGTGTGAAGTTTCAAAAGTCCAAGTTATGTAAGAATTCTTTGTAATTTAAGATGCAACATGTTAAATTAATAAAATAAAGAGTCAATGGCTTTCAACATTGACTTTTGAAGGAGATGGAATTTGAACACTTTGCACCATTTTACAGATATAACGAAGTAGATGGTATCTAATTAATTGAATGTTGTAATAAATAAGAGGGCAAATGAAACACAAATTCAAGGCAGCCTCTTCTGCTTTGCTTACAACATGCTGTCTGATCTTGCAGGCAATCTCCTAAAGAAGCTCGAAGGAACTGAGGGAAGTTTGTGCCGAAATCTTGGATGCCTCAGAACATAAATGCCAGAAACAAGGCTGATAACTTGGAATGGTGTAACATAGAGAACTATAGCAGCAATTAAGCAAAAAGTTATGAAAAGAGCACTTGCTCTTGGGTCTCTCCAGCTCAATAGTGACTGAAATCTTTCTCCTTGAGTTGCGAGATCCCCTACCACGGTTTGCACCCTCCCAGCTATGCTCCGTAGGCGGTCGTATCTCATCCGAACGATATCTGAAGATCGGGATGTAGGAAAAGTATCGAATTCTTCATCTAGTTCATCAGGATGAGCTGCATCAGCATGAGACAACCTGGTGTCCATGTGTTGGGGGTGTCTAGGCCTCCGCCGGAAGTTCCAGATTCCGATCAAGAAAAGGTAGAGGAAGGCAGTTGGAAGTATGAGCTCGGGGTAAAGAACTAAAATGATGAAAAGGATGTGGATTAATATTGTTGTGATGGGGTTCTTCCAGTTGCAAATATGATCAAACCATTTACCTAAAGCAATCAACCCACTTAAAACTCCCATTATTCTGAAGAAATTGGCCTTGCTTCTCCTCATGCTCCACATATGTGAATCCACATCCAGCATATACTCAACAACCTCTTTCCTCAATGCAGGCTCGGCACGGCCTAGTCTCATCGAGACAATTTGCATTGCCTGGTGCCTTAAGTTATCGAGCTGAATTACCGATAAAGGATGAATGTAATGCATTTTTGGCAACAATGGGTGGGAGTACATATGCAACATGTTAATCAAAGATGAACAAGTAAACCTTACAGCCAACTGAACTTCACCCATTTTCTTCACTCCTGAAGAATGAAGGACCAGAAGTGGATATGAATGAGTGTAGACCCTTTCAGTTTCAAGAGTCGATAGCCGAATTCGCACCTTCCCAATCCTTGAATCTTTCACTCCGCTTCCTCCACCTATATGACTATTGTCAAACACCCCAATAGTAATAACAGTACAGGGATCAAAAACCTCCCAAGTGTACTGTTCATTCCACCTCGGAGCGAAGCTGTCTACAATAGTCCTCGTTCGTATCCACTTCTGCCCGTATTTTGCAACACAATAAGAATCCGTCGTCCCTCTGCCATCTTTCATCTTCATTGGCATCAGCCCTTGAGCACTTAGAATTCCCAACTCAAGAATCCCAATGCTAGACTTCCACAACTGCTTTGCAGTAGGCCTAAGATCGCTACTGTAGTGAGTTGATTCATCCAACACATGATACCCACCATCCAAACAAATCCTTAAGTGAATCCTACTGGCAAACTTAACTTCCTTTTTCTGTTCACCATCTGAAATAACATGTTTCTCCATATTATACCATCTAGTGTTGACAGGTTTATGATCTAATCGCCTCTGCACGTTTTGCAGGGGAACCAAACACCTCCCAAGAATTTCATCTTTGTTTGGCGCCACCCGGTCTTCTACTGTCAGAAGCAGAGGCTCCTCAAATGGCTCAGCGGCCACGAACAATAAGTCCTCATTCCACAATGGATTTATAGTTTTGCTTTGAGATATCCTAGTTCTTAAAGCCTGAGCCCCAAGAATAACCTTCACAAAAACTTCTGGATACCTACTTTTATCACTCAGTAGTAAATCCTGAGCTTCAATGATATTTACTCTTACATACCAAAGTTTGGGAGAAAGATAAACCTTTGATCTGATGCTAGCAATGGCTTCAGAGCCCACAGTCACGGCATCCGAATGCCAGGCATCAGGAAATGCTTCATCTGCTTGAGTTCCCATCCAAACAGCCAGCATAAGCTCTCCTTTGACCTTATCCCCCTTTCGATCCTCTAGTCTATACCACTGCGGTGCCAGGGGACTGTCGGGAGGGACGCGTTTTGGAACATCATTGAGGTCAAAAATAGCCCGCCCCATGAAATCATCTATTACAAAATCCTTGTCTTTCACCATCACTTCCAAAAGAGACGCTTGGATTCGTTCTCTTGAGAACGCAAAAACCTGCTTCCACTCAGGGTTGGACTTCTTCTCAAAGTGTTTAGTTGTTCCCTTATAATTTCCAAGTTTCACTTCCACATATGGATCACAGCTACCAGTGACATCTTTTCCAGGTAAATCTTTAGCTTTCACCACAGAAACATAAAGGTATTGCATTTGCTCCACAAGGTCATATGTGCAAGAGAGCTTGTCGCCCATTATCGAACCTGCACCTATTTTTGGATAGGTCTCTTTAAGAGCAAAATCATGAGGTTGAAGAGGCTTCTGCATCTTTCTGCGTAGGTTAATGTCACAAAGCACTGAACTTTTAGACACTCAGAATAAGTATGGCCTCAACTTCCCCAAACTCAAATTCTGCCATTAACAATGCAAAATTAGACATTCAAGCCAAGTTAATCAAGAATTCTTAGGTGAGATTTACAGAAGGGAGCAACTAGAAGCAAAGAAAACTTAGCAAAGAGATGAAATTCTCAGTGGAATCTTCCAACTCTTGCAAAATCACCTGCAGATCAAAAAAGAGACCTCCTTACTTTTACCCTTTTGATGTATGCACTAGTTTAGTTGTTCAATAAAAGATGAAAAAGAACATAAAGCTCGATTCTCGTGCAATTTACTTCACACCTTAGGCCACAGAACGAGAATAACGACCAAACCAAACAATAAACAGTAATAAAGTCAGGAAATAAACTATAAGACTCGCTGAGGCTAATTTCTTGCACTCAAATTCACAGTTTCCTTCACATTTGTCTTTCTCATGGCATGCACTTTCTCGGCAACCAAGAACAGAACACAGAGCTAAAATCTGCTCCAAGACACAAATAAGCAGCTTGTATTTTACAACTAATGGGGTTGTATGGCAAGGAAAACCCAATAAGTTTAAGACAAAAGGTAAGGTACAAGTTTAAGCTTCAACACCTAAAATTAGCTAGAACTTGAAGAAAACATGACCTGATAAAATAATATTAGCTATAACCACTCGAACCAACCTGATAAAATAATATGGAGAGATAAACATTATACAACACTTGAATGCTGGGTTGTTTAAGGAAAGAGAGAGGCATTTACCTTCCTCAAGCACTGTTGAACAGGGAAATTCTTGAACACTGTACAGTATAACAGGGAAATGGAGTTGAAGGGTTGAAACGAAAGGTAGCTAGAGAATGAACTGAATTAAAAAGTGGGTTTTGGGGAAGCATGTGGGGGCCCAAATCTGTACAACATGACTGAATCTCTGAAAAGAGCACAGAGAAAAAAACCAACAAGATACCCAACTTTTACTATAAGTTTTTTTCTTTTTTCCCTTCTTCTATGATCACCTTTTGTTTTCCTTTAGGCTATTGCAGGTGCAGACAAAAACCATAGCACACGTGTGGAAGGCTGTGGTTAGTTTCGGCACGTGTATCCTCTCCAAAAGGGAAGAAGTTAAAATCACCACCTCGCTAAGTTCCAGAAGAGAAGAGAGAATAATATCTCAAGCTAAGATTTTTATCCACACTATTTTCAAAAGTTAGTACAAATAAATACTATAAAATACTTTTTTGATGTCACATCACATCCCGCTCAATAGTTCAGTTTTACGGTTCAATCTGTTATTTTAGGATGTGGGTTATAAGATTTCCAATCTGAGATTAATTTCATCCAAACAAGTTAAAAGGATTGAGAATGCAATTCTTTTTAAATGGGCAAATGCAGAAAAAGATGGGTTTTTTGTCTCATTGGGACAGTCAAAGAAGCAAAATTCCAAAATCAACCATTAACGTTTGGGGTTGCCTGGTCAAAAAGAAGAAAAAGGAAGCAGTGATAGGGCAAAGACCAACTTGGAAAACAATGGGAAACCTCTTGCATCGAAAGACCAATCAATTTTGAGCTTCTAGATTTTATAGAAAAACAAGAAATCGAAGGATAGAATTTGCTATTTCAGAATGTTGGGTGGTTGAGCGAATAATGAGACAATGTGTGTGTTAGCCTGTTAGGTGTGGTTGGTTGGTTTGGTTTTGAGTACTTAACCCAACCCATTTCTTGCCAAGATGAACTACATAATTTTCTATATGACAATAATATGTTTCATTATTTAATTGAGACTGCGTAAGGATAATAAGATTCAAGACAAAGGAAAAAGGAAATCAATAGAGAAATTATGATTTGAACTCTAGTTTTCCTTTTACACAATCAAACAACACATATCCTTCGACCATAATCAAGATCCATAAAATCATTTATATGCTCGGAGTAACTCCAACTATCTAAGTTAATGTGTTTAGTTTGGAACCACCCACTTTTAATGGCGGTCTCTGAAGTATTGGGTTTAGTCCTCCTCAAAATTCCCAAAAGATAATTCATGACGTAAGTCACAAACTTCAATGAAAATGCAGTAAATTCAGTTAAAGATGAAGAAGAATGGATCATAGATCAAGCCTTTTCTTTATTACAATCGAAATGTCATAAGAGTGGAGGATAGTGAATTTGACGGTAACTGCAAGTCAAGCATGTCTTGAATAACCTCATCAGTTCCTCCAAAAATGCTGTTTTATTTGAACTAGGGCTACATTAATGATACCTAATTCTGCTGACAAAAACCATGTTTCAAGATCCACCATGTTAACTAGCTGTGCTCAAGTTAAAATCTTTTCACTTGAACAGGAGTCCCATGCTTTGTTCCAGATTCAAGCATTGCCTCTAATACAGCAACATCCCTAGCACCCTCCACGAAAGATATACGAGCATCGGGTTTATAATCGCTTCCCTGCAACAAAAGCAGAAATAGAATCACTGAATTTTACATTTTAATGTCATGAAAGATGAAACAAACTTAAGAGTAGAGATTATCCGTGACATTGCCTCGGTAGAAATAGCATGAATGTAAGTTTTTAGTTCTTCGGTAACTCCACTGAAAGGATAGAAGGAGCATCTGTTCTGCCCATTAGCATTGGCCAGAGAAACCTGCACACCAACTCAAAGATATCAAAGAAAAAAATGGGTTGGATCATGGTGAACATTATGTATATATATGAACAACGATCATAGGAACTAGTATATCACTTGGGAAATTGAGTACTTGAAGCTTTGCTTTTCAAAAAAAGTGCCCAAAACTAGGCATTAACTATGACGTTTGACTAACGAAATACCAGATAGCCATGTTTTCCATCCTGGTTCCCACGATCGATCTGCAGTGTGCCTCTTGAGCCAACAACTCGCCAGAATAACTGAAGAAATTCAAAATCATTCAACAAATGAATTAATTTAAAAAACAAAAAAAAACTGAGAATTTCTACTTGTTGCATAGCATACCTTGGGTGACCTTGAGGAGACTACCATTACAAAAACTCCTGAACATCCATTCCCCAGTTGGCTAAAGGAGGGAAAATTGTGAGCAGTCTTCATTTTTAGGTTGTCAAACTTGTTGGAGACTCATTTATTAGCACTAGGCAATAGAAACTTACAAGATAGAGGATATATTATCTGGCGGAGGTAAAGACTTGTCCACATAAGAGGTATTGGCTGACACTGAGACCACTTCACATCCAACAAGCTGTTCATAAATACGGGAAACTAAAATTTCCAGATCTAAAATCTGTCTGCCATTGCTTCCTAGTAAAAAAAAATCTTACATATAAAGGACAGGGACGGGGTGGTTTATCTGACAAATAAGCCAACATAAATGTCATGCATGACCAAAAGTGTTTATTTTACCATAAATCAGACCCTTTCTGATAGTCAGGTTTTATACAGTATTCGTTGCCACATCATTATGTTTACAGACTTGTCTTCTATACGTTTTGTCAATTAGATAAGCATTTTGAACTTAGAAAGCAGAGCACTAATAGTAATGTTTGATCAACGGCCTTTAAAGATTTGTAAAATCAAAACAAGTGAGTCATTAGGATAAAATTCTAATGTTTTTTCAAAGCGGAGAAAAAAAAAAAGCAGTGCAATTACCATCCTTAATCCAGCAATGAAGTGTACGCCCATATCCAGAATGAAACCTCCCTGCCACAAGTGAAAACATATGTTGTCAATCTAAGATAGGAATATGTCAGTGCGATAAAAAGGGATAACAAAGATAAACACATTGTTGAAAATACAAGATGTACTAAACACAAACAATATTTATCCCAGCTTCTATACAATAGAAGTAGAGAATTTGCTAGTAATATCTAAATTAAGCAACATCATATACGATATATATCATATTCTCTCATGGAAGAGTGTAAGACATGACAATCATGCTTTGATGAAACAATGGGAAACAGCATGTAGAATAGTTAACAACTTTGTGATTATTTACTAGATAAACACTTACATTGAAATTGCGTCGCCAAGAGCTTGAGAAATAGGGGTTTGAACTATTCATTGATCCTTCAACAATCACTTGGACGCTCATCATATCCCCAATGTCTGCAATTAAGTTCTTGCTCTGAAAAATAATTAATGAGCATGTTGCTGAAGTACTGTAACCATGCCAAGGAAAAAAAAATCCACGAACAAGTACCTCAACAAATGCTGGTTCAAATCGATAATTTTCTGCCACAGCCCATAACGGTTGATTGAGACAATTAGCACTTATAGAGTTGTAGTTTGAAAGTGCATATTCTAACTCGCTTGTCGCTGCATTACCACCATATTGCCAATTAAGTGAATGTTTCTTTTATCATTTTCAATTCTGACCATTGATAAAAGATCCAAGCTATTTTGGGCTGCTTTTCAAGTGAAGTTTCAGAATCAGCGGCACTATACCATTTGTAAATTGATTCCAGAATTATATGGCATTAGTTGTCCTAAGATCAAGGGAACAAGTGCCACTACTCATGGGAAGTATACATTCTTTCCAAGTATTGTGGGCTTTGTGGTTGGTTATATTAATTTGAACCTTTTTTCAACTTTGCTCAGAAAGGCTAAGGGCCTCTGCCTTCAACTCAAAACAAGATGAGATAATTTTCTTTATAAACAATAAAGTTGGGCTATAGACCTATGGCTCACCTTAGGTCAATCAGAAATTTCATTTTCCTTTCAATTCATGATTAGAAGTAATGGTAAAGACAGCCCTAAAGTAGATAGTGAGGAACTATGTTGGGCAATGAAAGGTTTCATTTCCAAACCAACAGTCTCCTTTCTCAAGAGGGAGACTGACCTCCTAAATAGAACTGAAGTGGAACAAGGGAAAAAGGAAAAATGCAATGAATTAAAATATAACCAAAACAACTTATTTCCAGTGGTATCACAAGTCGGTGGGTGGAAAAGGCAAATCCATGCATTACAGAAGCCCAATTAAAAAGGAATACCGATGTCAAAAAAAAAAAGAGGACTCAAGAGTAAGTGGGAAGAATTTCATGAACAATTTAATAGAAACTTAAAATAATAATAATAAAAATAATAAAAAGATACTTACAGGCTGCTGCTGGTTTCTCTTCACATCCATAAAGTTTGGGAGACACAATACGTACAAAATTTCCAAACAAGAAGAATATTAGTCTATCACACAGAACCATATAATAATAGGAAGTCTTTTAATGTAAAAGCTAAAAAAAGCTTTCTTCTTTTGGTTTGGATTATTTCATGTTGGAACGTCACTCAAAGTAATTTTTCGCTCATAGTTTGCATTAGGCATAGAAACCCAGATTAGAATGCTACTACTATCTATAGAAGCTCAGAGGAAGCACCTAAACCTTTAAACTTTGAGTCCCTAAATTATTTCCTACTAAAAAAGGACATTTGGCCCTTACAAGACGTTTATAAAAATTCTTGCATGCATCATTGAGACTTCTATTAGGTAATGAACCATCAGGGAAGAAAACTCATGGATAGAATGTGAAAGCCAAGCAATACAAGTGGGCGGAGAACCATTAAGAGGAACTGAATCATGAAGAGTTATAATAAATCTGTGAATCGATTATTTAGCCAATGAATCTTTTCCCTTATTATACCAAGAGGAAAAAGCAAAACTAGTTAATTGAAAATATGACCAAACTAGTTAGTCAACAATCCACAAATAAGAATGTCAAGCACATGATTTACGAGTAAATCCATCAATATAGAAATGATCAAAGCAATAAAAACTTCAATTTATTCTTAGTTGAGGCACAAATTACCTTGGAGGACATGTTTCCCTGCTTTGAGCAATCTCAATGACATATCAACCTACACGACATGATTTATACGTAAACGACAGCACACAAGGTACCAATGCACAGAATGTAAAAGTTAATTATTGCATGTGCATTCTTCCCTTTTCTTTTTCCACCAAAATAAAACTTAAAATAATGTCCAGTTTGCCCTAAGTATAGTAGGTCTTAGACAAGAAGGCAATGGTATTCAAAATGGCGTCTCTTAATCCAATATTAGGAGCTGGATAAAGTGCTGTGGGTTAAAGATAATGAATGGAACACGATTGATTCCAAAAGTACTATTGAGTAAAATGTTTAGCATAAATAGCTAATTACATAACATTTACAGAAGTAGATTGTGAAAATCGTTCATGGAGTTTACGTCTATGACTCTACATTAACAAAATCGCTGAAGACCTAATATTTAGAACTACGTCAGCAATAGTGTCAGTACGTTTGCAATTCATAAACAAATTGGCAATAAGATACCTGAGTTTGTCCAGCTAACACCACGGCAACTCCAAGAATTGAATTGTCTTGAATAATCTCATCAAGACCCGCATCGCCCCATTTACATTCTACCGTGGGGAAATATTTGCTAGCAATTTCGACGGCACCTTTGGCTGACGCCTGCAAGCCAGCATTACTACTCTACTCATAAGTTAATATGAACACGAACAGAGTATTTCGAATTTCTACTTCTATTTACTCCAGCTTCTACTCGCGTGAAAAATTGAGAAGTACATTTTCAGTGAGCAGCTATATCTTAATTCTTACGGCCACAGCAGAAGAACGAACAGGTAACGATTAAAAAAAAAAGGACACAAAACAAAAGAGCGTTTAAAAACACAGCTCAGTGAAACAAACTTGAGGTGCTTGATTGGCAAAATCACTTCAAGTTGATTTCGTTGCTTTCAGATTTTCATCAAACATACATAACGACGAGAAGAAGCAAAAGCATTTTAGAGGGAGAAAATAAAATGAAGGACCTCGGTGCGGCTCCATATAGCCTTAACAACTAGAAGATCAGAGATCTCAGCGAGTCTGGGAATGTACTGTGTCTTAACGAATATACCAGCTCCAAGAATGGCGATCTGGGGAGGCTTCGTCATCTTGAATGATTCGATTTCACCTGCAGTTCCTGCAAAGTCGAAATTGTTTAGCTCAAAATCCTGGATCCTGGGGCTGTTGGCTCAGCTGATTTCTGACAGCGGAGGTCGAAAGATGATAACAATTAACAACTTTTAATAAATTTTCATAGAATTATAATTTATAGTATTTAAAGAATAAAAAAAACAACAACAATGTCCACCTATATCTACTTTGAGTCAATCGATTTCATCCATTTGATCTAAGTAAATTTCTTCACTTCAACATCTTAATAATTGTTAATGTCTTAATTTATATGCTGAGCTATGGCATAAAACTTAAGTTCAAATCCTTTGTTGTAATAAAAAATGTCTTAATTTATATAGATTATGTTATTTTTGTCAAATGCTAATAACCTCTTTTAAAGGTTGGAGGTTAAAATCGAGAACCAATAATTATGAAATTTTGTAGTTAGTTGGGAGGAAACACTCTTCTTAGTTTGCAGTTTTAAAATGAACTGAGTACCAATAATTATGAAAATGTAAGCCCCATTAATGAGACAAAATATTGGGGAACTAAGTATGGATGTACAAAAACATTGCTTAACTTGATGCAAACCATAAAAATTGGGTTATATAAAGAAATTGAAATTTTATGGGTCAGGAAGAAATATGGTTCATTTTGTGTGGAATTGAATTCAGCAAATGCCAGATGAAATTTCTCCTCAGATTAATTATCTTGCTAACTCTCTTGATCACATTGATTATCCAAGTGTTAGGAGGAACTCAACGGTTTAGCTCAGCTCAGTTTTATTTGCTGTAGATTTGAACGGTTCATGGGTTTAGTGTGTCGATTTTTCCCCTCTTAACTAACTAATCGAATCGTTGGAAGCTTCTTCTGAATTCTGATACAGGTGCAGGCATGGCTGGTGTACCTGCTGGCTGCTGATTCTGAGCATGAAAACTCCAGCCCCACGGCCATGCTCAAGTAGATATTTCATTTGCCTGGACACAGCCAACCAAGATGCGCAAAAATTGTCTGCAAGGAATCATATGAGATGGTGACCAAAAATTCATGTGAAACATTCATTACATATTTCTAAAAGCAATGGCTTCAACAACTAATTGTGTTTTTCCATTATTATAAAATTAAATCTTAAAAATGATCATATTAAAAAACAATATTAATAAACGAGTCTGAAAACGAACAAAGGGCTTTGAAAGTCGGTAAAGTTATCCGTAGCTTCTAGTGACTGAATATATATTTCTTCTCTGGGCTCTGCACTTGCTCCACTTTGTGTGGCATATTCCATGGCCATTTCATGGTCAACCTGGAAAAACAAAAAGCATGTAAAATCGTTGTATCCAGTAACTATGATTCCATTATGCCAAGATAGAGGTGTAAATTGCTTCGGTCAGTTTGGTTTTCGACCGAACCATGCAGTTTGGTCCCATACATTTTTGGGACCGAACCAAACCAATGCAAAGGATGAGATGGAACCAAGCTATAAGCACAAGTTATATGATGTGTTTATCTAAGCACACGTCTTTTGGCTTCAGAAGACATCTTAAAGGTAGGTTTAACAAGTCCATCCTTCCCCGACACACCTCATAAAAGGAAGGAGATGAAAATGGCCTGACGTGAAATTTATAATTCACTGATTAGTATATAACTTAAAATTAGGCACAAGCAGATCACCTGTTCAACATGTTGAGCAAGTTTATCCCTCAAAGTCTCATTCGTAATCAAGCGAGCAGATACTTTACTGAGTATTTCAGCATCCTCACTCTCATGACGTTTCTTCTTTGATGCATGCACTTGAGCCATTTCTTTTAGAACATTATACACAGCATTTGTCGCATCCGGGATATATCTATCAACCAAATCAAAGCAATGTGATTAATCATATCAGCTTGTGCTAAAAGGGAGTTTTATATAGCAGTAAAATCTTCAAAAATGGTTGGACATTTTGAAGAAAGGAATCTAAGCTGCATAAATTGATATAAATGCTTAAATCACCTGCTCAGATTTCGTTTCCTTTCCTGCTGCTCACGTGCTTGTATTTTCTTCACTATTTTGCTTTTCAACTGAATGCAGCACTGCTGAATGGCAGACTGGAAAACTAACAACGTCAGATTACAGTTACAGATGACAAGTGCAAATTGTTATTAAAACTAAAATGCCTACCTTGACAGCAGATGCTATTTCAGATATGTCATCTCCAATGTACTCCTTTCCAGTTCCCTTAAACGGGATCTTAGTACTAACAATACTCACGAACACACCAATCTTATCTTGAGTTTGGTTCATCTTATAACTACTCCAACTAAAGAGAGAGTGAGAGAGAAAATGGTGAAGATGAAAGTCATCCTTCTGTTTAAAAACTATAACTTCTATCATTATAAATGCCATAACAACAATATCACATCTGTGCATTCCATTTGACCCTAGAAAGAAGATAATTTTGAAATGGGAACATTAAGTGCATCACATCTTACTTGATTCTCTTAAGGGCAGTCCTAGTCACGACATCGGCACCTTGCTCAAAAAGAAGGGGTATTCGATTTGCAAACCGGAAAATATTCAGACCCTGAAATCAAGAAGAAGGTCCTATATTTACTTTCAGCTACTTTGAGTTTAGTCAAATAAAATGCATAACCCACCCCTGAAAACACCTAAGCCTACACTGTAGTACAAAGTAGGCTAAACAATATTTTTCGCTATCAAATAAAGTTTTAATTGAAGTACTTTACTTGCATGTATATAAAATTTAATCGTCCCTTCAAATCAATATTAATGAAATAATATACAGTACATAAAGCCAACGAATGAAAACTAATAGATCTAACACCAGTTTTGACAAAGATATATAACACCAGTTTTGCAAAGATATATAACACCGGTTGTGACCTTTGAAAAGCATAAGTTCCATGTTTGTCGTGAAATCAATGTCCTTGTACAAAATAAATATTTTCACGTATGGACTCAACATTGCATCTAACAATCTAAGCAAGAACAAAAAATGTTAATACTGATGTATATGGCAGGGATGAGATATCACGCAAATACTATAAAAAGAATTGATGTAATTATCAAGAAAAATGTCAGAATTTTCATATTCAGGTTATATTTTCTATAATGTATGATTAAAAAATAATTAAAAATTAAATTCATAATAGTCAGAATTGTATTAAACAAATGTGAATTTTATATTTTACACCAATACTGTAGGCTTGCATCTTTCGTGGAAATTAATTTTACAAAGAAAACTACAAATTTTACAAAGAAATCCTGAGGTCTTGAAGATGCTGTAAATAATATCTTAATTATATTTAAGCAATTTTTTGAGAAGTATTATATTTAAGTGATTGAAACAATCAAATGTCTATCATCATTAAATGTCAGTAAATGTCAATGCACATGGCCAATATCAAAGGTGGTCATTCATAATTGTATTAAAAAAAAATTGGTACAAAAAATGTGGTGGTGGAAATTTGAACTTCTAACCTTAGAGAAAGGAATTGTTATCGTTTCGTTACCATCAGGCAAAAGGGCAGAACAAAATATCTGATAGAAAATGGAGGATAAACATACTCTGTAGTAGGATTTCTTTTGATAGGAAAGAGACTGCATTTTTATCTTTCCACTTCCTCTAGGACCATCTCGACTAAATACATCGTGATAGAGAGATAAAAATAACATAAGCTAGCATAGTATTTAAATGGCTAACTAATACAAGTTAGATGAAAAGGGAAAAACCTGTTTCACATCTTTTCCTCCCACACTAACGCCAGCTTCAACAATGAATGGGTGTCCTTCGAAAACTTGAGCACTGCATATGTTTAACATAAAATTGACAGATAAAAGAGCCGATAAGAATAACCAATGCATAAAACCAAGAGGTCTAATTTATTTCAGAAAGAATATATACGCACGTCATATCAATATCAGCTTCAATTAAGAATAAGAAGCATGCAGATCTAGCACAATTGGGAGAGTTCAAAATTCAAGAACAACCTGCCTGAATAAGTAGCAACCATTTCAGGCTGCAGTTCCTTTACAATTCCAAGACGAAGATTGTATTCCCCAGCAGGACTAAGACACTGCAAAAATATGTGCAGAAAATTAATTAGTATAAACTTAAATCAGAAACAAAGAAGAAGAGCTTCGAAGAACCAATGCTCATAGTTCTGATAGAAATTTATCGAACAGAATGAGACAACTCACATCACCACTAGGATCATCAAATTTAGCTTGACGAAACAACTGATGAATACGGACTATTTGCTGAGATGTCAGAGACTTAACAGACATTTTGGGGCTAAATTCTGGGCCCATTTCTCCTGTGAATGATAATTCATCAGAATATATGAAAGAAAACACATCCCAGGAGCCCAAGTCAACTAAGCATAAAATTGTGCCATCATTGATATCAAGAAGTACTATTTGAGACCTTTATCTATCGATTATTTTAATTTCCTCCTCAATGTTTGTATTTTTCTTTTGTTTTCCCTCCACCCTTTTTCCTTTTTGTTGTGTGTATGTGTTTCTATTCCCATTCAAAAGAGGGTGCTGGGAGAAAAAACAAACCTCGTGGCTCATGCGAAGTAAAACTTTTTGTAACTACTCAATAGGCACTATATTTAACATAAGGACAAAATGCTAACCAATTAATCGTTCAGCATAAGATTTCCCTATGTTCACAAATTCATGCTGAAGAAACTGCAAAAGGTTCTGTTTCGGTGTTTCTGCAATAAGGCGCTTAATCAATAGTAAATCAACAGCTGATGGATGATGTTTAGTCTCTTGAGGAACTGGAGGCATAACATCTGTTCTCCGGGAAAATCTAATTGTGATATTTTTGCTGCATGACAACAATAAAAGGATAAGATGCCATATAAAATGTGTGATAATTGTTCTGGATGTGCACATGTGAGAGAGAGAGAGAGAGCATACTCTGGTGTATCTGACACAAATTTGAAAATAAATTGAGCATAAGGTGTGATAACTGCCATCTGTCGCATATAATGTAAAATTTTCGACTGCACTTGCAAAGGATGGAATGTTTTAAAGATGTGTGAAGTATTTACTCAGCAACTCTAGAGACTGGAAGTTCTCTCAAAGTGGGGAAAACAAGG